ATCTGGTCACATGGATGTGAAGATAAATTCCCATGCTGAGCTTTTCTTTATTCTGTGCCAGGTAATACTAATGTCAACACTGGCAGCCAGGACACGGTTACTACCAAGCCCACGTCAGCCACGACCACAACTACAACCACCACTACGACAACCACGACGACAACCACAACCACCTCAGCCACCACAACAAGCAGCACAAATCGTCGTACTCAAACAGGTAAGTGACCCAAATCTGATATGTCTCTGTACAGTCCTTCTATCACCTTCTTTGTAACTTCATCATTACATTTAGTCCGTGTTTATATTTCTACTAGTTACAATGGTCTATTTTCGTTTTAATTCATTATTATTTACCTTTTAATTTAAGCAATAGTTTTCAAGTTGGCAAAGGGAAATAACCTACAAAATTTTAATTATCACATTGTTATTTCCCTTACAGTAATGAATAATGAACGTGTAGTGGATATTTAAATTAGCTTAATAATAAAGAATTTTATATAAAACTTAATTGGTAGAAAGATATATAATTATAATTAATTAAACGGAAATGTTTAATATATTATACACAATTTTAATTCTATTAAATACGATTCATTACAAATCTGCAATGCTGTGATTTCTTTTCCCTTTGTGATTGCTTTCAAAGTGTTTTAAAATTATAGGAGACCTATTAATTTCCTATCTTCTCATTCTTTATTTCCACCAATCAGTGTAATATTTTTTTTTCTTGTTTTTAGTGAAGGAAAATGAAGATTTAATTCCTGGGTCAGAAGGATTTCCCTCCGACGACACAGTCATAAAAAGCAGAGACAACCCTAATATTAATTCTGGCATCATCGCAGATGCAGGCAAGATAGAGAACTCTGCCCCCTGTTTATCCTGCCACAGCGTCAGCAGTTTAGTTTCCTGTATAGCATTTAGTGTTATATTAACTTTGACCTTATTGGCATGCTAGTACCTGCGATGTATTGAGAATGACAGCAGTGAGTTAGATTGGATGATTCTCTGAATGATTCAGTATGTCAGACGTGTCATATTAAAACAAATATAACCTTTTTGTTTTATTTTTTGTACCTGTTCATTCCAGTGATTTAACACAGGGGGGATGTTAACGAAAATTCATTCACACGGTTGGGTATGAGCTTGTCATCAATTTATTTGGAAAATGGCTGATGGCGGATAATTCGTTTGATTCATTATGTTTCACAGAACTCATCCACATTGGCCTTGCTTTCCAATGTTAACCCCATATTGGCCCATGAATGGAATGTTCACATTAAGAATGACATTGAGAGGGGGGGAGAACACAGAGATATGTATATTTTTTATTGTTGATGTTTTCAACACAAATCTAAGCTTGCTGAATGCCAACAGATTTCTGTTCCTATGATGTCACTACATTCATTCCCATGTCATCCTAGTTGTCCTTGCTAATGGACATGTTGTTTCTCCTGAGGGCAGAAACTTAAGAGGCTCTTGGGGAAATAAAGTGTGGTTATAGTCCAGTGAAAAACAAAAATGCATAAAAACTTCTTTAGCCTGTCATAAGTAACTACAGACATGGGCCAATTATTTTTTATTATTTTATAAATGCTATATTCTATTGCCTGGCTACAATTAAAAACAAAATTTTGCAGTAAGTTTAAATATATAAATAAAATTTGTGACGATTGTACATCAGTAGTACCCATTTCCTATCACAGCCATGGAAAGTCATGTTTTGTTTGAAATTTGTAGAAATATTTTAGGAATGGTTACAAAACCATTGCTTGTAGTTATACTGTATGTTATTCCAGTTTTTATGAAATCCATTTAAGGCTTTACTGTTTCATCGTTTGTCTCTGTCTTACACTTTTTTTTTTTATTATTTTATTTCATTTTTATCCCCTTATATTCACAAAAAAGCCAAACAGTTTTCACATCCTTGTTGAATATTGTCTCCCTTTATCTTGATTATCTCCTCTTGTCTAAATCTTTCATAGTCTTACAGATTTTTTGGGGGGTTTTTTGTTTCTCTGTTTGTTCTGTTTAATCATTGTGATAATTTTTTTCTTGTCTATTTATTATTACAAAAAATTTTAAACAATGGTTTCTTCAGTCTGTGGACTGTTTAATTTTTATATCAACTTCTTTTAGAGAAATTAAATTTTCCTTTTTTTTTAAAATAAATCAGATAATATCAGATAGGTTATTCTAGGTGAAAAAACTTCTGTACAAAAATTGTTTGATCATATTGTGCAAGTAACTTCATGTATATCGAATGTAGATCTAGTTTAAATATTTAACTAATCCTAACTTTGGCTTTGAGAATTTTAGCTTACTTTAACTTCCAGCTGTCACTAGCATTATCTACGACAGTAGCCATATTTGTTTCCAGTTTTTGTTTTCTTTTCTACTGTGTCAAAAACTAACTTACAATTATTTAAAAACATTCACACATCACAAGTTAGGAAACAAAATAACTTCAACTTCTTGCCCACCAACAATGCCTTACAGCGTTTGTTTTTTTTTTTTTGCATTATCTATAAATTTTAATGTATACATATATTGTATGGATATAATTATATTGTAGGAATCATCTCCTTTTCCTACTTTGTCATTTTATATAAATATTCCAGAATATCATGTTTTATTTGTAGTTTTTATTTGAGTTTCTAAATTTATATAATTCTATTAACTTTATTCCCATTATGTTTCAGAGTAAGCATTTTTTTTTTTAAATATTAAATTATTTTGCTACAAAATAATAGTTTTTTTTACATTTTTGTTTAGCTTTGTTAATGATGAAGAATAATTAGTTACTTGAGATTTTCAAACAAAAAAATTTTTAACATCTTATTTTTAAATATTTTTTTCTTCTCCACATTTTTACATTATTGTACATACTCATTATATCATAGCCTATATACGTTTCTATGTAATCACCCAGGTGAACTTGTATAATATGATCCTAGTTGTTACCATGGTAACAGCTTTCTTTACTTGCCAACCACTATTGTGATTTTTAAAATAAAATAATTTCACTGTTGTCGAATGTAATTTTGTAAAAGAATTTTTATGACACCACTCCCCAGACACACAGCCCCCCCCCCCCCCCCCTTTGCCTCCATTTTTGTTTCAGTACTGTCAAACACATTCATTGAATTGACCAATCAATTTGCTTCTTTGTTATTGAATGATGTAAAAACTAAAATTACATGAGAGTTTCTGACCAATGATTGAACATATTTATGAATCTGTGATGATGATTGGGTGTAAATTAGTTGCGTGCCAGATTTTTTTTTTCCTCAAAATTCTTTCATTGTGTCTGTTTGTGTATAAGTGTAGTTGTGTGTGTGTTTGCATGTAAAATTGCAACATATTTCAAAATCTGTTTTAGGTCTTAATTTGTATGTACAACTTATTGATTTTTTTTCTTCATGTTTTCATACAAAAATATTTGTATAAAAATATTGAACATTAATACCAAATGGAATAATTTTATTTTTAAGCTTTTTTAAGTAGAATCAAGAATCATTTATTAATCATATGGTTGTTAAGTTAAATAATTTAGTAAGAACATATATTTTGTATTCATTAATTAATTTCAGAATTAAATGTAACTATTTATTATATTTGTTAAACCTTAACTTTGACTGGTCATTGAGCTTCAATTAATGTGTTTTAAACATTTTTTCTTTATGTTAACCTGCACTGAACTATACAAGTTTGACTTTGTTACTCCAGAATGTAACGTTTTGTGTGTTTGTGATATGTTTTATTGTTTTTGTACAGATTGGAAAGAAGGTTGGCTGTTTTATGGGGGCAACAGCAAACACTACACAAACGTAATTTATTCAGAAGTGGGATGGGGGGGGGGGGGGGGGGGGTCAGTGTTACTGTAAATAGACTGAAAATAACAAGACAAGGAAGTTACGTCAACTAAATGAATGATTGTCTCTGGATTCAATATAACATAATAATTGCATCTTGTGGATTGAATCGGATTGACTTGGGTTGAATCTGATTGACTTGGAATTGAATCGGATTGATTTGAATGGAATGAAGTTTGAATGTTTGCAGTGGAGTGAATGTGAAAATGCGGTTGCAGATATTCAGATTGGGCCTTTCTTCCTGTGCGCAAGAGTGGTGCTTAGTTTAACTATGAACAGCCATATCACATCAACATATCACTTAGCTCTGGTTGCCTTGGTAACTGTTGATTTTAGTAGCCCCCAAATTTTAAATTTAAACTAATCACATAGTATGTATGCCATTCTAACAGTAATGTTATGACAGCTATGTAACGAAATCTCTTTATCTGCATATCAATTGCAACAAATTTGTTGTACGTAGAGCTATAACAGTTTGTAAATTTTTTTAAAAACTGAATAGTGTAAATAAATGTATGAACTCAGAAACACTTTTCACAACTAAATGATCAACTTTGCAGTTTTTTTTCTCTTTTTTAATACATGAAAGCTTGTTGAATTAGCTTATTATGTTGATAGTTAGGTTAGTTTGATAGATAACTCTCTATATTTAGGTCTGTGGGTCAGTTAAGGCAATATTTTTCCAACGATTGTTTAAAAAAAGATGAGTAAAAAAAAAAATGATTATTATACAAAAATATGCTAGATACATAGGAATGAACGGTACATATGTCATCATGATACATGCATTTATATACAAAGAAAAAATATATATAGTTCGGTGATTATGGTGCAATAATAGTAGGCCTAAAATATATAAAGTCTCTTTTAATTTTTAACCTTCATAGAAGAATAGGAAAACTGTCACTACTAAATGAACTTTTAAATGTTTTTTGTTTCTTTTGTACACAAAGTTATGCATATTTTTAGATTAACCAACTACCAGATTTTTCATATGTTTACATCTAGTGATGTGTCTCATCTGAACAGTTCATTTTGTCCTTATGGCCTGGTGTGTGTCTAGTGTGTACGCAGCATAATAAACAGAGCAGGTAATTCACTAGAACGAATAATTTCTGAACCCTTACATTTTTTTTTTATTTTTTTTTTAACTTGGCTATTTCAAGACATGTCTTTTGTTTTTTTTTAAATTAAGATTCAACTTCAGATGTTTGTAATCAAGATGATGTACATTATTAGTGTTATATTTTATTCTTTTTTTTTTTTTTTTAAATCAATTTGTATTCTTAATGTTTTGATTATTTAGGGGTTACATTTTAGTGTAGGCATACATTTGATGTACAAAGGCTATTAAAAGAAAAATTGTGTGGCTTGATGTTGATGAGAGGATGTCCAGATATGGCATGTGTGGATGTGTGTGTCTGTCTGCATATATTGTTACATGTTACACTTGAAAAAAAAAACTGTAAAATTTTTATGATAAATTTTTGTAACAATTACTTTGAGAGTGTGAGATCAACACTTGAAGAAATAAATTTATGAACAACAGATTGGTGTCTCTTGTATATACATAAGCATTGGAGTCTTACAATGGATTTAAGTGTTGAATGCATTGGAGTCTTACAATGGATTTAAGTGTTGAATGCATTGGAGTCTTACAATGGATTTAAGGGTTGAATGCATTGGAGTCTTACAATGGATTTAAGTGTTGAATGCATTGGAGTCTTACAATGGATCTAGGTGTTGAATGCATTGGAGTCTTACAATGGATCTAAGTGTTGAATGCATTGGAGTCTTACAATGGATCTAAGTGTTGAATGCATTGGAGTCTTACAATGGATCTAAGTGTTGAATGCATTGGAGTCTTACAATGGATCTAAGTGTTGAATGCATTGGAGTCTTACATGTATATCGAATGTAGATCTAGTTTAAATATTTAACTAATCCTAATTGGCTTTGAGAATTTTAGCTTACTTTAACTTCCAGCTGTCACTAGTATTATCTACGACAGTAGCCATATTTGTTTCCAGTTTTTGTTTTCTTTTCTACTGTGTCAAAAACTAACTTACAATTATTTAAAAACATTCACACATCACAAGTTAGGAAACAAAATAACTTCAACTTCTTGCCCACCAACAATGCCTTACAGCGTTTTTGTTTTTTTGCATTATCTATAAATTTGTCATTACAATGGATTTAAGTGTTGAATGCATTGGAGTCTTACAATGGGAATGTCACAGCACTGGAGGTATAAGCAAAATATTTTTTAAAATCCTTTAAAAAAAAAAAAAAAAAGCTTATCTCAAGGGAAAGAACTCTCTCTTAAAACAATATCAATAATGTAAAAGTTATTACCCTTATTCTAAATCAAACAAAAGAATTAATTACCAGTAATTAATTGGCTACTTGAGTATTTTTGTTTATTGGATAATGTTTTTTTATAGGTATAAAAATTAATTGTTTAAAGTATTAACTTGATTGGAGACTATGCTAGGGAGAAATTTGTTAACAATTATTTAAGGGGGCTAAACCCCCAAAAAATATTTGTGATTATTAAAGTATTAGTTTCCTATGTTGGTTGGTATCAAACAACGCATCCTATTACCAGTAGTTAATTGTCTAATTGGTTACTTTAAATTATGATTGATACTTGTCCTGTCTATACCAATTAATAATTTTACGAATTTTCAACTTGATCCGAGAATGGGTGAGGGAGAACACACTTTTTACCAGACAGACAGCAGGTCATAGTGCGTATAAGCTTTATAAAAACTGATGGCTCATTATCCAGAGATATTTGTTTACTTTAAGACATAACAGAATTTTTTCTTTGCAAAACAACATAATCCAATCCTTCAACTATAAATCACGAAAACATAAACTATAGACCAAGCAGAAATACGCTTAATAATTCAAATTCATTTATTGATTCGCAATAGTAGACTTAGCATGAAGCTGAAATTAAATTAATTATGTAATTAAATCCCCCTCCCCTTTTTTTTAAAAATAATCTTGTCTTTTCTATTTATAGATTTTTAAATCGCAAGCTCTACTAGCGGAAACTTTTTTTAAAAAAATAATCTAATTATCTCCCCTATATTTACTTATTCTATGTATTGCAGTGGTTTTGCGCATCTTTCAACAGTTTTGTGAAACATATGATGAGAAAGATGTTAAGACTCTTTGTTGTAAACTGGATTTCGAAAGGGGTTAGTCATTGCTTGTTTTGTTAAGCTTAAACAATTTTTTTTTTTTTTTTTTTAGAAACAGTAAGATTTAACCGTCGTTAATGACTTAAAGCAGGCTAAAAAAAATTGTTTTACAAGGAAGGCATCTCACGCAAATGAATGAAACGAACCTCCGACTGCTAGGAAAGAGACTTTCATTGATTATATCATTTTTTCTTTTATCGAAAATTTCAATCTATTTTAAAGAGTTTTACAAATGAATTACTGCCTAAGGGAACCGATATCTATGCAATTCGCATAACACTCTATGAAGAAATTACGATTCGCTTCTAGGATGTAAATAAATTTTAAAAAATAAATATAAATGACAATTATTAAACATCTGTTACTGATGTTCAGATTGAGTTGCAGGAAAACATAGTTTTACAAAATTATACCTTCAGTATAAAGCAGCGGTTCTCAACCTTTTTAGCTCCGCGACCCCCCTAATACAAGTTTTCACCAGGGGGCGACCCCCAACCAAAAGAAAAAAATTGTCATAGGTCTAGGTAAATGTGATTTAGCTAATGATTATAAATGGTTTTCAAAATGTATTTATCTAACATCCAAGATGTTAATTTAATTGTTATAAACGTATCCTATTTATTGAGTGTAAAAAAAAAATAATTGTGTTTTAATTTTTTAAAAAGCAGATTTTATTATTTTTATTTATTTACTTTTCATTGCGTATTTATAATATTCACATTTCGTACATATTGCATAATTTATAAAGTATTAAATCATGGAAACTGTTAAGACAGTATTTCAAACACGTCAAAGTTAGTGCGAAGATTGGTTCTTGTTTTTATTTCACTAGTTTAGGAATTCACATCAAGTTTATTTACGATTTAGACTTGATCATTGACAGGCGGAAAAAAAACATAATTTCATAAAGTTACAATGTTGGAAATGGAAGAGGAAGTCTTGAAAAATTGTGATATAGAACAGAATGACTGCAAACACTTGATCCAAAATTGTGTAAGTGACATTGAAGAGACATATTTAGATGCATTTCTATTGACATTACTAATATATGTCGATGAATCTTTAATGAGTTACAAGGATTCTTATGGTGACGCATTCTGTAGCAAACATTGACATCCAGACCGACATCCAAGTATACTTAGAGCACCATCTGTGTGACTCATTCTGTAGCAAACATTGACATCCAGACCGATATCCAAGTATACTTAGAGCACCATCTGTGCTGACACCACAAATATTTTTTCCAAGAAGTCTTTTACTTTTTCAAATTTAACCAGCTTTGTCAGTTACATCACACGCTGTAGATGTCGTTTATAAAAGGTTTGCATAGAAACTTATCTGTAAAATGGCCATTACATTACAATATCCTAAGTATACCGAACTAGTATACTGAACTATTTACAACGCCTGTGGATTCATCAAGCTGGATGCTAAATATTGTAAAAGAAGTAGACATCATTCTCTTAATATCAGAACTTATCTCCTGTGAATAGAGTCATTAGGTATGGAAATTGCACTAAATTTATTAGTAAATTTGGCTCCAATCATAACGAGCAATGTCTTTGGCCGCTGACAATAACTCCTTGGTAATGGTGTGATGTTTCAGAACTCTGGGAGCCACCAAAAAAAGAAGCTTCATAGGCTGATATGTTTTAAATATGGTACTTGCCAATTGAGTCAAGTCTGAACTTCATCAGGATTCAAAACTAAACTACTGGCTGTCGTTATCGGCAAAGCTTGGACGTTTGTTCGGCTTCAATATACACGTCAGAGAGAACTTCATTACACATGCTGCCATAGTGGTCTCTGAATTCCTGCTTGAACTATTGAAGTAAAACTTTACCGCCAAATGATCGTCATTCTCTTTTCTTTTATTATCTATCTTTTGTTCGAAGTCAGTGAGTTGTTCCAAAGTGATATTATCTATATTGACTAAAATACGTGGCGTGATTAGATCTTCACCAAATAAATAATGATCCTGCAATGTGGTTTCGACGCATTGATGGACAGTCAATTCATTTGTTGAAAAATGTATTCTGCAACAACGGTTATGTGGTCTGTAGGCTAACATCTATTTTTGAATAACAATTATATAAAAAACAAAGAAGAACCAATAACAAAAAAACATGTCTACTTTCCAACAAAGATGATACATTTACTAAAAGTGCTTTCGGTATTCTCTGGCAGTATGTCTTCGTATATATATGTCACCCACACTTTTTATTTATATATTTTTTCATTCAAGCTTGACGATCGTTTCATAATATGTTTAGTAATAATATAATTTGAGTAATGTCCCTCACCATTACCACTAGTTACGTAAATCTATATCCACTATTGGTAAAAATATGCTTGTTACAACACATTAGAAACAAAAAGATACAAAAAAATTGCAAACTCCCTCCCCCCCCCCCACCCAATTTTCCAATGGTATTAGGCGATCCCTGGCAAAAGGTCATTCGACCCTCAAAGGGGTCGCGACCCACAGGTTGAGAACCCCTGGTATAAAGACTGTTAACACAGGGGGCACAACAGGCTGCACTTAAATGTTTCAGTAAAATTTCAAAACTGTTTTCGAAAATGGAATTATTTGTTAGCTCTTTCATCAACAAATGTAGTTAACCCAGATTTAGCATTGCGTTGGCTAATTAAAAGTTTGAAATTTCTATTATTGTCAGACTGCATGAGGCACAAGGTTCCCATTAGCTTAATTTCATTTTGTACTGAATTCAGCAATATAAATGTTTATAATAAAAATAAATTGACAATTAAACCTAATAACAGTTGGCCCTAGTATTCAATAATTTAAAAGGGGACTATTCTTAGGATTTGAAAGAAAGTCGTGACATTCAGATTAATTTTTGTGTGTAATGACGGCAAATTATTTGACACTTTTTGTATAATGATAATAATGGCAATGTCTTCGATTACGAAGATTAAGGCTGAATGCAGTGTTTCACATAACTACGCAAACCCAGTTGCGACCTGAATAGTTTCCCGAATTATATGCAGAAAAGTCGTTGTCCGCTGGCAGTTTTCATTCTGTCTTTTGCGCGTCTTCAATAATTGCTTTTTATGAGTCTCAAATGTTTGTCCCGCAGTTTTTGTGAGAGCTCTCCAGCTATCTCTCTCAGAGGTCATCTGCTGCCAGAGAATGCTGCCAGGTACTTTCCTCTATTCCAGTGAGGGCGAAATGGTGCCTAGTGGATCTTTACGGGAGCATCTTTGTAACGTCGTCATTCTCTAAGCTCGCCAAAGAAGATCGCCTTTGGCAAGCGGTCGTCTCCCATGCGGTATAAGTGTTATTGACAGCATAAAAATTAATAAAAAGATTATA